TGTTTTCAGAAAAATAGCGATAGCGTAGCGAGGACTTTGAGCCAGTTCGTCCGTGGGTTTCGGGTTCTAGAGCGAAAAATAATTCATCACCCAAAAGGCCACGAAGCCGCTTCTCAACTCTCAACTCTATGAAGACTGTGCAGCTCCAGTCTAGATATGGCAGCAGTTATTTTTTCTTTTTATCCTGGGGAGTGTCTACTATGAAACGAATGTCGATTAAGTTTGAGAATCCCTAATTCCAAGGTGTGTGGGGGGGAGAGAGAGATCGAGTAATGAGTGAATTTTTTGTCATTAAAATAAAGCCATTTTTTATTTATTTTTTTCTAATGTTCAAAAGAAATCGCAAAACCAACCCTAAACAGGAGAGAAGCTACTCTTGTTCCAAAAACCGTGGAGGAGTCTGAACCGGGCAATAGGCGAACTTATGTACTCCTATTATTATTATTTTTTTTATTTTTTTTTTTTGTTGTTTTGTGATAGATTCATAACCCAGTGGATTGATGTTACCTCGACATGGTGTAAAGACTAGCAAGCTTGTCTCACTAGAACAATTGTGACCGAGTAGTGAGTGTGTTCCTCACTGGGTACCCTGTACTTTCGGCCTTGTGCCACATCCAAGCTTAAAAACTCACCATAAACTAATGGGTTGAAGTAGCTAATTTGGGCCTTAAAACATGCTCTAATACGCATTTCATATGGCTTCAAATTTCCCCTCTAATTGGGAAAATTAATTTTTTTTTCTTGGGAACTTACAGCGCCCGAAGCTACCAGCTGTGTGGGCTCGTTGAACTTGCCATAATCTATTGATAGACTACATTTTTTAGCAGTTAGATCATACAGTCTATTGTTGCTAGCTGCAAAATTTTCCCCACATCTGTTCAAACCTCAAGGCCCCAAAAATATAGGCTCTTGCAAATATGGCTCTTGTATAGTCAAAGACCAAGAGTAAAGCGTTTCACGGTCCAGAGACTACGATCAAATTGTAGTATCTGTTCCGTGGCTTTGACCAGCTATGTCCTGCTAAGACAAGCTTTGTGACCGACCCAGCGTAAGCAGAGACTTGGAAATTTTTGACCAATGTCCCGTGTATTCGCGCTCGCGTTTTCCATGTTAAATAACCGACCTTGTGTCGCATTTTAACCCACCAGGGTTCAGTGGTAAATAACAAGAACAAGAGTAAGGTAATTATAGTTGCGACACAAGACAGCGATTCTTTTCCTCGTATCTTTAGTATGTAACGTATATATGTGTTCCATTTGAGGTCTGAGGACAGGGAATTGTCCCAAAACAAAACTGCTGTCATTTATTGACCATGAAGAACTTTTTTTCTGCTTTTCATCGGCATCACTGCCTGGTTTCCATATTTTGACAATTTTGTAAACTTTTATAATTTTTTCACTAAAAAAAAGATTTATTCTGAAATGTATTTATTTATAAAATGATAAATAATAAATCTTTATAAAAGATAAATAATAAATATCGTATTGTATTTGGTTCACATATAGTTATAGTCTTTTAGACATTGCCGAGGGAGTCAAAGGTGAATGCAGTAATAGCGATGTCAAGAAAATAGGTGTGATTTTGACACACCATTTTTTGGGAGTTGGATTGGTTTGGTTTACGGCATATCGGCCTGAGGATTATTTAATGCCGACAATTTTTTTTTAATTGATGGAATATCTTCTTTTTTTTTCCAAAATGTGTTTCTGGTAATTTTTCTTTTCTTCCAAAATCTATTTCTAGTAATATTTTTTCTTCAAAAATATATAGCTGGTAATATCTTTTGTTTTTGTTTTGTTTTTTTCAAAATTGTATTTCTGGTAAATTTTTTCTTCCAAAATCTATTTCTAGTAATATTTAATCTTCAAAAATATATAGCTGGTAATATCTTTTGTTTTTTTTTCAAAATTGTATTTCTAGTAATTTTTTTTCTTCAAAAATCTATTTCTATTAATATTTTTTCTTCAAAAATGTACAGTTGGTAATATCATTTTTTTTTTCAAAAATGTACTTCTGGCAATTTTTTTCTTCCAAAATCTATATCTAGCAATATTTTTTCTTTAAACTATATAGCTGATAATATCTATTTTTCTTCAAAAATGTATTTCTCTTAACTTTTTTTCTTCCGAAATCTATTTCTAGTAATATTTTTTCTTTGAAAATGTATAGCTGGTAATATCTTTTTTTTTTTCAAAATTGTTTTTCTGGTAATTTTTTTTCTTCAAAAATCTATTTCTATTAATATTTTTTCTTCAAAAATGTATAGTTGGTAATATCATTTTTTTTTTTCAAAAATGTACTTCAGGTAATTTTTTTCTTCCAAAATGTATATCTAGCAATATTTTTTCTTCAAAAATATATAGCTGGTAATATCTATTTTTATTCAAAAATGTATTTCTGGTCATTTTTTTCTTCCAAAATCTATTTCTAGTAATGTTTTCTCCTAAAAAATGTATAGCTGGTTATATTATTTTTTTCAAAAATGTATTTCTAGTAATATTTTTCCTTCAAAATTTTTAACTAGTAATATCATATTTTTTCTTTGTTTTTTTTTCAAAAATGTATTTCTGGTATATCTTTTTCTTCCGAAATCTATTTATAATAAAATTTATAACTAGAAATATCTTTTTTTTTTCTTTCTTTTTTTTTTTTTTTTTCAAAAATGTGTTTCTGGTACTTTTTTTTCTTCCAAAATCTATTTCTAGTAATATTTTTTCTTCAAAAATATATAGCTAGTAATATCTTTTTTTTTTTTTTTCAAAAATGTATTTCTGGTAATTTCTTTTCTTCCAAAATCTATTTCTATTAATATTTTTTCTTCAAAAATGTATAGTTGGTAATATCATTTTTTTTTTTTTCAAAAATGTACTTCTGGTATTTTTTTTCTTCTAAAATCTATATCTAGCAATATTTTTTCTTCAAAAATATATAGCTGGTAATATCTATTTTTCTTCAAAAATGTATATCTGGTCTATTTTTTTTTCTTCCAGAATCTATTTCTTGTATTTTTTTTCCTAAAAAATGTATAGCTGGTAATATCATTTTTTTTTTCAAAAATGAATTTTTGGTAATTTCTTTTCTTCCGAAATCTCTTTCTAGTAATATTTTTTCTTTAAAAATGTATAACTGGTAATATCTTTTTTTTTTCTAAAATGTATTTCTGGTAAATTTTTTTCTTTGAAAATCTATTTCTAGTAATATTTTTTCTTCAAAAATTTATAACTGGTAATATCTTCTTTTTTTTTTTTTAAAAATGTATTACTGGTAAATTTTTTCTTCCAAAATCTATTTCTAGTAATATTTTTTCTTCAAAAATGTATATCTAGTAATATCTTTTTTTTTCCCCAAAAAATGTATTGCTAGTTATAATTTTATTTACAGATTATTTTTAGTATTAAAAATATTTTTACACTTTCATAGTGTTTTGACCACGGTATGGAGGTTAACTATTTGTCCATACCAGGGACCCTATACCATCCCTAGCCAAGGGTGGACCTGAGAACACCAAGAATAAAGAGGTGGTTCCACGCTCCTGAAAACCTGGTTTCGTTTCGTTTAGTTTGGTTAGTTTTACGGCATATCAACCTCAATGGGTTATTTAATGCAAAAGTTTTCATTGTTGGTAATATTTTTTTCTTCAAAAATCTATTTCTGGTAATATTTTTTTCATCAAAAATCTATTTCTGGTAATATTTTTTTCTTCAAAAATCTATTTCTGGTAATATTTTTTTTCCAAAAATCTATTTCTGGTAACATTTTTTCTTCAAAAATCTATTTCTGGTAATATTTTTTTCATCAAAAATCTATTTCTGGTAATATTTTTTCTTCAAAAATCTATTTCTGGTAATATTTTTGTCTTCAAAAATCTATTTCTGGTAATATTTTTGTCTTCAAAAATATATTTCTGGTAATATTTTTTTCTTCAAAAATATATTTCTGGTAATATTTTTTTCTTCAAAAATCTATTTCTGGTAATATTTTTTCATCAAAAATCTATTTCTGGTAATATTTTTTTCTTCAAAAATCTATTTCTGGTAATATTTTTTTCTTCAAAAATCTATTTCTGGTAATATTTTTTTCTTCAAAAATCTATTTCTGGTAATATTTTTTTCTTCAAAAATCTATTTCTGGTAAGAATTTTCCTTCGCTGGTAATATTTTTTTTTCAGAAAATGCATTGCTAGTAATATTTATTTTTTAAAAAATATATTGCTGGTAATAATTCTTTTACAAAGTTTTTCTGGTATTAAAACTGGTCTTTACACTTTCATGACGCGATTTGAGGGGTTAACTATATACCCATAGCTGGGACACTAACAGTTGGTACCACCCCGGGTCAGGTTGGACCTGGGAACATAAGCAATTAAGAGGTGTTTCCAGGGTCCTCCAAGCCTCCTGATCAGAGGCCTTGGTATTGGACGTAGTTTATCGCCTTACCCAGGACGTGGATGTAGTTTATCGTCATACCCAGGACGCTTTTTTTGAGGGTACGAATGTTAAACTTTTTCAGTTTTTTTAGTTAAATCGTGAGGAATCCAAACGCCGTATCGATTTACATAGAGTAAGTGTTTACAATTTTTTTTTTACAACGCTCCAATCAGACATTTGTGCATTTCGGCGATGTCCCATGTCGTGCGAGCTTGGATATTTTTACTTATTGTTTTCGATTTGGTCATCATCAAGGACAATTTTGGATTTAATGGAACCATTTCCAGCAGCCTCTCAGCTATGGCAGTAGCCCCATAAATAGCATCTGTCCTCTTTTTATTGATTATTTTTTCCTTTCCGGAAAAAAAAAGCGACAAATAACAAAAACAAGTCTCATTTTCCTCCATTTTTATTTTTAATGTTAAAAGCATTTAACATACACAATCCACGATTCGTATAGAAAAAGACTTTACTTTTATAATTATGGATTTAATGTCAGAAATTTCAGTCAGGTGTAAAAAGAAATACTATTTTCAAACGCCACCAACTGAAAAACGCTAGGAATATTTTATTCTAAAGCGATACAAAAAAAAGAAAGAAAGAAAGAGAGAGAAAAAGAGAGAAAGAAAGAAGAGAAAAGAAAGAAAAAAAGAAAGAGAGAAATAGAAAGAGGAAAAAGAAAGAGGAAAAAGAGAGACAGAAAGAAAGAAAGAAAAAAGGAAAAAGAGAAAAGAAACAAAGAAAGAAGAGAAAAGAAACAAAGAAAGAAAGAATGAAAGAAAGAAAGAGGAAAAGAAAGAAAGAAAGAAGGAAAAAGAAAGAAAGAAAGAAAGAGAGATAAAGATAGAAAGAAAGAAAAAGAAAGAAATAGAGAAAAGACAGAGGAAAAAGAAAGAAAAAAGAAAGAAAGAAAGAAAGAGAGAGAGAAAAAGAGAGAAAGAAAAAGAAAGAAATAGAGAAAAAGAAAGAGGAAAAAGAAAGAAAGAAAGAAGGAAAGAAGGAAAGAGAGAAAAACAAAGAGAGAAAAACAAAGAGGAAAGAAAGAAAGAAAGAAAGAAAGAAAGAAAGAAAGAAAGAAAGAAAAAGAAACAAGGAAAGAGAGAAAGAAAGAGAGAAAAGAAAGAAAGAAAGAAAGAAAGAAAAAGAAAGAAAGAAAGAAAGAAAGAGTGAAAAGAAAGAAAGAAAGAAAGAGTGAAAAGAAAGAAAGAAAGAAAGAAAGAAAGAGAAAGAAAGTGAGAAGAAAGAAAAAGAAAAAAGAGAGAAAACGAGAAAGAATGAGTGAAATAGAAAGAAAGAAATAGAGAGAGATAACGAAGGGAAGAAAGAAAAAATAAAGAAAGAAAAAAAAGAAAAAAGAAAAAAGAAAGAAAGAAAGAAAGAGAAAAAGAAAGTCAATAAAAGGAAACTAGATAAAGAAAAAAATTACAAGTTAAAAAGTGAGAAAGAGAGAATCAACAGAGACATAACGGAACCTTGAAAGACAGTAAGGGGAAATAAATAAAAAAAAAAGAGAAAAGAAAGAAGAAAAGAGGGAAAAGTAAAGAACAAAGAAAATAAAAGGAGCGGCAGAAGACAACAAAGAAAAAGATAATGAGAAAAGAAAGAAAACATTGAGAAAAAAAAAAAAGAGATTAAGAGAATGAAAAAAAAACGATATAAAATGAAACAAGAAAGAGCGGAAGGTCTAAAACAATCAAGGAAGGCGGGAAATGGAAAAGTGAAAAACTTAACAAGAAAGAAAACGTGAAGCAAGGAAATTATAAAGGATTGAAGTGAGAAGGAAAAGGAAAAAGAAACAAAAAAAAAAAAGAAAAACGAAACGCAAAAAGAAAGAGAAAGAGAAAGAAAGTAAGTATAATTGAATCGGGAGAGGCAGACAAAAAAAAGAAGAAAAATGGAGATGATAGGAAAACATAGTAAATTATGAAGTAAAGAAAGAAGGCAGAACCATAAAACAAAAAGACAGAGAAAAGAGAAGCAGACAGAAAATAGTAATGAAAAGAGGAAATAAAGAGAGAAAAAAAATAATTCAACTAATTGCAGTAGAAAAAGAAGAGGGAGAAAGGAGGAAGAAGAAGAAACGGAAGAAGAGGAGGAAAGAAAATGTAACAAAAAAATAAACAAAGTAAAAATAGAAAAAAAAAAAAATAACCAAAAACTCAATAAGTCATTAATGCATCACAATGAAGACTTTCTTTTTGTTTTTTAATTCTTAAAATACGAATCACTAAAATGACCATAATTTTTTAACTGATTTCTAATTATAAAATGGATCCGTAATTATGTTAACAACATTATTTGTGTGAAAACGAAAAGAAAAAAAAAGACACACAGCAAATAGAATTAAATAAAAATAAAATTTTAAATTTTCAGGAAACAAATTGGTATCGACGAGAGTGAATTACTTCGCTAGGGAACGCCAATAAATGCCCTTCCTTTCATAGTGAAACCTCCTGGGGTTTTCATTTTCTTTCTCCGCAGAAAAAGACAATTCACTTAGACACTATTATAACAACGTTTAGACAAAGAATATGTTGACAGAAATGTGGAAGTGTTTAGTATCAACAGACGTACGAATGGTGTATTGCCTGGTATTTACTAAGATCGTTACACTCTTACCATTATCGAGATTTTCACCAACCAGCAGCCACCGAATATCGTAGCCCTGTGCCAAACGAGACTATGTTAATAGTAATCTTTTATCTTAAATAACACAACAGTCCTCAAACAAGAGCCTATTGATTCGCTGATAGGAAATTTCCAATCGAATTTTTATTTCCATGGCAAGAATTCTGAAGAAAAATTCCAATGGATAGCGGTTCGGAATGCGAAATCTGAGTGCCAAGTTCGAATTTCAATCGGGTTCGTGACATTCACTTACACGCAAATATCATAAGGAAAGATAGGAACCCATCCCTTCTCGCCCCAGCTATGGGTTAAATATATCTGGATACAACAAAAATTGTTAACATTATTTACATTATTCGGAATATTTTCCTCATCTTTGTCGCTATATTTATTACAACATTTTGGCCGTTGTTCGCTCCGGTCTTCTTCAGGTGGTTGGAATGTCGAAATGAACCCTTTATTTCGCTCACTGGAGTAGACTGTTCTAGTTCCACGTGCCATGTTTTTTAATGGATGCCAGTTATCAGTTATCTCCTGTTAATTTCTCTCTGAAAGTTCTCTACATGGAACAGTGGATAAAGGCGTTGGTTAGTGACAGGACCCAAAGAGTGTGAGTTCAATACCCGGTTAAGGCAGTGGAAAACTTTGCAATAAATATGGCGACAAAGATGACGACAAAAGTCGGAATAATGTAAATAATGTTAACAATTTTTGTTGTATCCAGATATATTTAACCCATAGCTGGGGCGAGAAGGGATGGGTTCCTATCTTTCCTTATGATATTTGCGTGTAAGTGAATGTCACGAACCCGATTGAAATTCGAACTTGGCACTCAGATTTCGCATTCCGAACCGCTATCCATTGGAATTTTTCTTCAGAATTCTTGCCATGGAAATAAAAATTCGATTGGAAATTTCCTATCAGCGAATCAATAGGCTCTTGTTTGAGGACTGTTGTGTTATTTAAGATAAAAGATTACTCTTAACATAGTCCCGTCTGGCACAGGGCTACGATATTCGGTGGCTGCTGGTTGGTTAGGGTGGGGGTCGGAGCTTACAACGGCCGAAACGTTGGAATAAATATGGCGACAAAGATGAGGACAATAGTCCGAATAATGTAAATAATGTACATAATACATCATCTCAGAAATATAGACAAAAATTGTTAATGTAATATTCACTCACCAAATGTGGTATTCTGAGAATCTAAAATATGACAATTTTCTAAGTTTCGTTTAAATCCGGTGAAACTATAGAGTTCCAAGATAGGCTCGAACTCGCTATCCCGTCGTAATATATCTTACTAGTCAATACACCACGTTGAAGTACCCAGCAAAATCTGAAATATTCCCGCTTTAAATATCTCAGAAAGGGTTGATAAGTTGTAAAAAACAAATCAATTATCCAGAGTTTCATAGTTAAGAGATGCCACGCCATTTACACAGGGAAGACTTAATACCGTTCTTTTCGTATTCCATTGGTTTGGACAGCGGTTCCCAAAATTTTGGGGTCATCGCCCACTTTCACGTGGAAACATTTTCTACCAGCGACCTGTATAGTAAATATTCAAAAGCATACCAAAATTGTTTGGTAAAAGTTTGTTACTGGCTCGTAAACTGAATTTATGATGTAGTAAAAAAAATCCCAAAAGGAGTATGGAAAAAATATTTGAGGATGGGCCCTCAACTCACGTGGACGACGCCGGCTGGGGGAGGGTCGGAGTGACGGTGAACTAATTCAAAGCATCGAATCCAAGACCTGCGCGTGACCGGAATTTATGTCATTTTTTTTACCGGAAGGAGATGTCCACAGCTCCGCCTCTCGTTGTATATAAGACTTACCTTCTTGTTTCAGCGGGAGACATTGTGAGACTCGAAAATAGCTTAGGTTAGGGTTGTTTTTTTTGTCTTTTAGTTTCTTCCTTTAAGTTAACTTAGCTAGTAGATGTATGCACATTGTCCTTCCCCGTTTTATTTCTGTCCCCACTTTCCTTAAGTTAATTCCCCCTCCCCCGTCAGGTATCCCGAAGCGTCAGTTGTCTGATGGGTGTGGGACGCCTTTCGATTTCCGGAGTGTGTTTCGTAATTGTTTTAGTGTTGAATCAGTGGGTGTTTAAGTGAATGGACGATTGAATGTTGTGTATTATTAAAATTCTGCATTGATTTCGTCCAGTTAAATGAGGTTTCTGTCACATTTAAGGAATGTGTTTTGTTTTGTTTTTTTTTATTACTAACACTATTTTATTTAGTTTCTTGGAAATAGATTTTTATTCATATTGTAAATACATATTAGGGTTTAGATTTTAAATTGTTATTTTTGCCTCTCCCCAGAGAAGAGAATTGTACATATGGGGACTAGTTAGGTCCTCATAAAGACGTTCAGGTATTATGATGGTTGTAGTTAGAATGGTAAATAAGAAAGCGTTTTTTTGAAGAAAAACATTACCAGCAATGAAAATTTTGTTGGCATTAAATAACCCATTGAGGTTGATATACAGTAAAACAAAACAAACAAAACCAATATATACTTAGATAGATAGATAGATAGATAGATAGATAGATAGATAGATAGATAGATAGATATTAGTATGATGAGATAGATAGATAGATAGATAGATAGATATCAGTATGATGAGATAGATAGATAGATAGATAGATAGATAGATAGAAAGAAAGAAATAGACTGAAATAGATAGATAGATAGATAGATAGATATAAATAGACTGAGACAGATAGATAGAATAAAAGAAAGAAACAGACTGAAATAGATAGATAGATAGATAGATAGATAGATAGATAGAAATAGACTGAGAGAGATAGAATGAAAGAAAGAAAGAAAGAAAGAAACAGACTGAAATAGATAGATAGATAGATAGATAGATAGATAGATAGATAGATAGATAGATAGATAGATAGATAGAAACATTACCATCAATAAAAATCTTGTCGGCATTAAATAACCCATTGAAGTTGATATGCCGTAAAATTAGATAGATAGATAGATAGATAGATAGATAGATAGATAGATAGATAGATATTAGTATGATGAGAGAGATAGATAGATAGATAGATAGATAGATAGATAGATAGATAGATAGATAGATATTAGTATGATGAGATAGGATCAAACTGAAATAGATAGATAGAAAGAAAGAGACTGAAATATATATATATATATATATATATATATATATATATATATATATATAATTATTATCTATACTTAGGTATATATATATATATATATATATATATATATATAGATAGATAGATAGATAGATAGATAGATAGATAGAAAAAAAATCTTTATCAGCAATAAAAATGTCGGCATTAAATAACCCATTGAGGTTGATATGCCATAAAACAAACCAAACCAAACCAAGCAGATGACTGCCCTTTTATCCATCCACCTATTTGGCCTTTTTGTCACATTTTGTATACATTATAAGAATAAATATTGGTATTCTGAGACTTTCATGACGATTAGGAAGGAGGCATTATCTAAGCAGAGGTTCAGGTTCCCATAATACGAAATAGGATTATTGGTCTCGTTCTTCATGCGAATTGCCCAGTCACAGAACAAGCTCATCTAACTTTGTTACCCTTGACCTGCCTTATTTATCCTTTGGTATTTCCCGTTCTAATCAACCTTGTTTTTGTTTTTTTTACCCACATTTCCTCAAGATCGATGGCTTTTTTCGACATATGGCCACAAAAAAAAAAAAAAAATGAAAAAGGAGTATCAAAGAGACAATTTTTTTCTCCATCGATACCGCTATTATTTTAACTACCTTCACTCCTCAGCAATGCTTGTTTTAAAAAAACAGATGATTACAAATTTAATAAAAGCTAAACATCTTTATAATAAAAGCTGGCGGGGGGGGGGGGTCTTAGGGACGGCAGGATAATTCAAAGCATCGAAGGCACGATCTGCGCATGTGCAAAATTTTGAGATTTTTTTTTTTTACCGGAAGTAGATGTGCGCAGGTCTGCCTCTCACTGTATATAAGACTTACCTTTTTCCTTTAGCGATAGGCATTCCTAGATCTTCAAGACGATGAGGAAGGAGGCATTATCTAAGCAGAGGTTCAAGTTCACAGAAAATGAAATTTACTCTGAGGATTATTAATCAAGTTCTTCGTTCGAATACGCTCATCTACCTTTGTTACCCTTGACCTGCCTTAAATATCTTTTAGTATTTCCCTTTCTAAACGGTTTCTTACACATCTTTTCTTCCTTGAGTTACATGGCTGCTTGAATGACCTGATCCATCTTGGTTACTATATATATATATATATATATATATATATATATATATATATATATATATATATATATATATATATATATATATATATATATCTTTTATATTTATAATTGATTGATATATCCCTTTTTTTCAATATGGTAGTATTATATAAAGAGGTTAACTTAAGCGTTAATTGCCTAAGTCAGTTATGTGATACACGCTTAAGCGATCATGTATCTTTCAATACATGACTGACGAGGCAGATTTTTTTCTGCGGTAGACCAGTTGCCATGCAAGGCTATAGAACCCGGTCTGTCCTGCTATTTACCCATAATTAGGTAAGGCGAGGGAGAGGAAGAGAATTCATACCTTTTCCAAGGATATTATCACATAAGTGAATATAACGGATTCGACTGGAAAGTCAGTCAGTTATCTGTCATGCGTGATACACACTTAGGCGATCATGTATCTTTCGATACATGACTGACGAGGCAGATTTTTCGCTGCAGTATGTTGCCATTTCTTTCTACGGTAGACCAGTTGCCATCCAAGGCTATCGAACACGGTCTGTCCTGCTATTTACCCATAGCTGGGGGGTGGAGTGAAGAAGAGGATTCATACCTTTCCCAAGGGTATTAGCACCTAAGTGAATCTAATGGATATGACTGGAAAGTCAGTCAGTTATGTGTCATGCGGGATACACGGTTAGGCGATCATATATCTTTCAATACATGACTGACGAGGCAGATTTTTTCTGCGGTAGACCAGTTGCCATCCAAGGCTATAGAACCCGGTCTGTCTTGCTATTTACATATAACTTTGAAGAAAGGATTCATACCTTTTCCAAGGTTATTAGCACATGTGAATGTAATGGATTAAACTGGAAAGTCAGTGCCATGCGTAATACACGCTTAGGCGATCATGTATTTTCCGATACATGACTGACGAGGCAGATTTCTTTCCCCGCAGGAGGTTGCCATTTCCTTCTGCAGTAGACTAGTCGCCATCCAAGGATATTGAACCTGGTCTGTCCTGGTATCTGTTAATTAATAATTAAATAATAATTATTATAATTTTAGAACTATATTACCTAATAATATACAAGAATATAACATTTTTTGATGTTTTGTTTTTGTGTAATAATACATAATTATAATGTTTACATAGGCTCAGTTTTATATATTTATTTTAATCAATTGGTATGATGATTTATGAAGTATTTAGAAATTTATTAATATTGTAGGTCTTTTTAATATATTGATATGTGGTGTAAGTATTAGTACATAATATTGATATGTAGTATTTAAGTGTATTTTACTGATGTATATATTGTATTATATTGGTTGATGAAGTGGTATTTGAAAATTTATCTTAGTATAATATTTATAAATATTTTATTAATAGTCATTGGGATTTTTATGTAATATATAATATATTTTTTAAAATTTGTTTACTATTAATTAATTAATCAATATATTTAATTATTTATTATATAGTGTTATCTTATAAAATTTATTCTAAAGGCACATTTTCTTTCACTTTATTCTAAAGACACTTTTTCTAATTTTAGTGTAGATTTTTCTTTTATTTAATCTTCCTCTTATTGGTTCATATGTATTAGATGATAAATAGTATTTTTTCAATGTAGATCGGAATTATTTAATATAGATTTAAATTTAAATATGTTGATTTAAATGTCGATGTTAGATTTTTTACTTCTTCTTTATTGATAATTATAATCATTTCAGCGTATTAATTTCAATTTCTATATTTTTCTCATTATTTTTCTGATATATTGTTTATTTTAATATATCTTTAATTCTGAATTAACTCCCTTTCATATAAATTGGTTTATCTCTTTATTTAATATAATATTATTTTTGTTAATAGATTTATGAAGGTTTTCTGAACTGTCTTCTGTTTGCTACTGGGTATAAAATAAATAGGTCATTTTTTTTCTCTTTTTTCTCCCCCTTATTTTCTATACTTTTCTCTCCTAACTACGTCTCATATCCAGACTTAGACTATTTCCTTGTTTTTATTTGCTCTCTTTTTTCGATTTTTCTTTTCTTCTTCTGTTTGGTCAGACAAATAATTTATCATCCATTGACTGGTTTGAAAAATCCTTGTAAATTTTATTTCAATTTACAAGGTGAGAATGAACGCTAAACCAATATAATCTTAATTCTTATTGTATAAAATATGTTGCTCTGTTTAACTAAAAACGTTGAGATCTATGTGTGAATCATTTTTAATATTTTATATTGTATTAATAGGATTCACGTGGATTATATACCAACGGATTATATATATATAGGTAACTATACTCGTCTCGAAAAACCTTCGAATTTTTGATTTGCCAATAATCTGGAATGAAAAAAAGGTTTTAAAAAAAAAAAGACTAGGAACATGAAAGTCGATGCGATTTTTTTCGACAGACTTTCATGTTCCTAGCTCTTATATATATATATATATATATATATATATATATATATATATATATAATTAAGTTATGAAAAAAACTTGGTAATCCGTATGGGTCGTCTCTAAACTCGACTATGTCTCTCAAACCACTCCTCATTACCCCCTCTGTTAAATTACAAAAACTTACACTACACATCAAAAGTATAAATTCTCATTTCATTTCGTTTCGTTTCATCTTTTGGAAGTGCTATCTGATGATCCAGAGTCCTTTAAAAGGGCTCTGGTGAAATAAATTATTATAATGGAATCTTAAAGTGGTTATTTTTTCTTTAAAATATCTATCTATCTATCTATCTATGTATATATATATATATATATATATATAAATAATTATTTATTCGAAAATTATAACATAAATATGTTATAAAATCGCTACAAAAACAGACACTTTTTGTGTCTTATCAAGTCATTGCGTTGAAGGTTTTTCATTCAACACTATCACTTGATAAGACACCGGATATGTTGAAACAAAATGACTATCTTTGTAGTGATTTTATAACATATTTTGTTATAATTTTCGAATAAATATTTATATTTGCTCTACTCTGTATTGAGCACTCTTTTAAGAATCGTATTTTTTGGTTATTGGAATTTATTCTGTATAAACTAATCCTATACTTGGATATTGGATATATATATATATATATATATATATATATATATATATAAACACGTTTTACTGAATAATATAGACATATGCTATCTACTTATCTTTATACTGATCCTTTCGAACAAGTTTCTTGATGTTAAGGAAGGAAGGTGTCGTAGTTTTAGTCAACGCAAGTATTTCGATTTTCTCTAAGATCATCTTTAGGGGTAAATTACAAAGACAGACTTATTGTAATTGCGGTAAAATCTGCAATCCGTTGTGATGGTGTTTTTAAAAACACGCGCGAACGTGATCTGCAATCATTTTAAATTTATCTGTTATAGTTATGTAGTCTTATACTTCATTTGCCAGGTACAAGTTCTATTGTACAACATCTAAAAACACATTCCTGTCCGCCTTCAACAACACCAATATAGTACATCATGAAAATAATAAACAAAACCTTCAAATTCTCGAGGCCCTCCCGATGAAATCAAGAAACTAACACTCAACAACATTTATTACGAATATAGCAGCAATATATTGAAGTGCATAGAATATTTAATGCCATTTTACATTTCTACCAATTATCAGTCAGCTCCCTTACATTGAAACGTTTGTTTTCACAAAAACTTCAGTAACTTCACCGGATAAATTTTAAAATAATTATAGCTCTCCATATTATTCAATGAAACATGTTAGAATGAAGATATGCAGCCTAAATACACACACACACACACACACACACACACACACACACACTACACACACACACATATATATATATATATATATATATATATATATATATATATATATATATATATATATATATATATGCATGCATGCACGGTGAAGTAATGGATAGCGGCTTGAATTGAGGATTCGGAGAGCCGAGTTCGAATTCCAGTCGAATTCATTACATGCACTTATGTGCTGATACCATTGGGAAAGATGTGAATCCTCTTCTTCTCCATCCAGCTATGGGTAAATAGCAGGACAGACTGGGTTTTATAGCCTTGGATGGCAACTGGTCTAGGAGAAGGACAACTCTGAATTCAAAACGTGTGGATGATCCTGCACGAAACCTTCACCACTATAATCAAATGATATGTGCAGATGTCTGGCTGTCGGTTTCCTGGGAACTGATCTGCTTCAACCTCATATGTCGAATTCGACGGGAGAGTCAGTATATATATATATATATATATATATATATATATATATATATATATATATATATATATATGTGTGTGTGTGTGTGTGTGTGTTGTATATATACATATGTCTAGATTGGTTTTATAGATAGATCTATATATTTATATCTAGATGCATTGTCTTTATAGACCTGTCTAGATAGGTCTCTCTATATATATATTGTATGATATTATTTAAAAACTTGGATATGTAAGTGTTTGTATATTTGCTTATATGTATTGCGTGAAATTTTAATCTTTAGCTATTTATTTATTCTTATTCGTTTTACTGACAGAATAAAAAATTGACAACCTATTTTATGAAGTCTTTTCTATTATTAGAATGTTTTCACATATGACTCTTTAATTATATTTGTCCAGTTCTTATATTAATATGTTGTAGATCAGGGGGGTCAGTTTAGTACATAATTACAATATAAAACAGATCCCCCACTTTATGTCCATCAGAATCCTATGAATACTTATAGTCTACTGATAGCATTAAAACTGGCACCCTATTTTATGAAGTCGTTTCTATTATTAGAATGTTTTCACATGTGACTCTTTAAGTATATTTGTCGTTTTATAATATTAATATGTAGAAATATCTGAGGGATCAGCATAGTACTTAATTACAATAGAAAACAGAACCCTCACTTTGTATCCAGTAGAATCTTATATTAATACTAATGGAGTTAATTACATCGAAATTGACAGCCTACTTTCTGATTTCCTTTCGAATATTAGAATGATTTCACATGTAGGTTTTTAATTATATTTGTCCTTTTATTATATTAATATGTAATAATCCTGAGGGATCAGTTTAGTACTTAATTGCAATAGAAAATAGATCCTTCACTTTATGTCCATTAGAGTCTTATATTATTTCGAGTCTACTGATAACATCGAAATTGACAGCCGATCTTATGAAGTCCTTTCTATTATTAGAATGTTTTCACATGTCACTCTTTAATTATATTTGTTCAGTTCTTATATTAATATGTAGTAGTTCTGGGGGATTAGTTTAGTACTTAATTACAATAGAAAACAGATCCCCCACTTTATGTCCACAAGAATCTTATATTAATAACAGTCTTATATTACTGATATCAAAATTGCTGTGGCCACCTTGTGTAAATAAAATTATGATTGCGGAGAAACTGGATCTGTCTGCCTTGAAAATCAGCATTTGGATTGATTTTTTTAAAAGATGTTTTGAACCCCCTCTCTTTTTAATTCTGCTTTAGTTGTCTTTGCTAAGTGTAAAGAACATTTCAGTGTGTCCTGAGTTTAATAGGATGTATGAGATTTACACGGTTAAAAGTTTATCACAATTTTTTTTTTTTTTTCTTTTTTTTATTTCTTTTTTTTTTTTATGGGGTGAAAATTTCATCACCTAACATCGAACTATTGACAAAAGAAGAAAACTATTTTTCTTTTTTTTTTTTTTTACTTCTTTTTATCAAATTGAATCTTGAGACAAATATTGCCCCTGGAGATTTTGAAATTATTCGTTCAAATGTTCATCCGGCCAGGAAATCGATAGAGATCAACCAATCAGAAACCACCTTTTTTCCTAGCCAAAACAACAACAACAACAACAACATCAACAACAAAAATGTCCTAGCAGAGAAAAATGTTTTAAAACATTCTTTGATGATCTTTAGCGTGGCAATGTGTATCCCTGAGGTGCAATATAAAATGTAAAGGTTAACTCAGTTTTCTGCGTGTCACGTGGACACCCGAGAGGGATATCAGAACACAGCGGTTCTCAACTTTCTGTAGCGTCAAAACTTTTTTTTTTTCTTCGTTTCATCAGAAAACTTAATTGAGAAGCCTCGAAACTTGATTTTGTATACACCCAGTATAACCAATATATATATATATATATATATATATATATATATATATATATATATATATATATATATATATATATATATATATATATAATTCAATTAAATTTAAAATACAATTTCAGATAAACTTGTACACATCAAACTTCTTGATATTTACAAATCTCCGGACAAACTGTCAACATTCAACTTCAGTATTTGGAACTGAATTGATAAAGAATTTTGCTGAGAATAGATTATTATTATTATTATTTTTATTTTCTTCGATTTCTGGCGTTTACACATTTCTTTCCGGGTCCCGCCCAGGGACCTAAGGTTAGAAATGGCATCATGACACTTTCCACTGACAAAAAAAAAAAAATTACATAGATAAAGCCCTGTTGGCACCCACTGAATATAAAACCCGACATGACAGAGTGGGCCAATATCTGCACTGGAAAATCTGCAACTTCTACGGGAAGGAAACTGAAAGAAACTGGTATGAACACCACCCAGACCCGGTTACGGAGATAGGACCTGTTACAATTCTATGGGACTACACAATACACACTGACAGAACAATCAAGGCCAATCGGCCAGATATTGTTATTAAAGACCACAAACAAAAACGGTGCCTCCTTATTGAGATGGCAGTCCCTGCTGACTGTATCTTTGAAGATATTCAAAAAGTTGTCAAAATATAAGGACCTTGAAATAGAAATCTCGAAAATGTGGCATATGGGAACATCAACAATCCCTGTTGTAGTTGGAGCCCTAGGACTTGTTGGAAAAGATTGCAGTAGACTAATTGAAGGGATTCCTGGAAGTCCATGCCTCAAGGAGATACAAAAAATTGTTCTCACAAGTACAGCCCACACTTTACGAAGGGCTTTATCTATGTAATTATTATTATTATTATTATTATTATTATTATTTCCTTTAATTGCTGGTGTGTACTCATTTCTTTCCGGGTGCCGACCAGAGACCAAAGGTCATAAATGGCATCATGACATTTTCTACTGAGCAATTTCGAAAAAAAAAAAAACCAACAAAAAAACAACATATTTTACATAGATGAAGCTCTTTGTACGTTGTGGGCTGTACTACTGAGAACATTTTCTTTGTATTTCTTTAAGGCATGGCCTGCCAGGAATCTCTTCAATAAGTCTACTGGATTCTTTTTCAATCAATCCGAGGGCTCCAACTACAGCAGGAATTGTTGATGTTCTCATATACCCAGTTTCGGTTTCAAGGTCCTTCTATTTTGATAGTTTTTTGAAGATCTTCAAAGATACATTGCAGTCTGCAGGGACTGCCATATCAATAAGGAGATAATTTAAATTTTTTGTTTGTTTGTTTGCGTCCTCTAATAACGATGTCAGGGCGATTAGCTTTTATTGTTCTATTTCTGTGTATTGTGTAGTCCCATAAAATTGTTACAGATCCTATCTTTGTAACCGAGTATTGGTTATGTAATATTTTTTTATCTATCTATCTATCTATCTATCTATCTATCTATCTAAGTAAATATTGATTTGTTTTGCTTTGTTTTACGGCATATCAACCTCAATGGGTTATTTAATGCCGACAAGATTTTTATTGCTGGTAATATTTTTTATCTATCTATCTATCTATCTATCTATCTATCTATCTATCTATCTATCTATCTATCTCAGTTGATTTCTTTCTTTCTATCTATCTATCTTAGTATATACTGGTTTGGTTTGTTTTACGGCATATCAACCTCTATGGATTATTTAATGCCGACAAGATTTTTATTGCTGGTAATATTTTTTATCTATCTATCTATCTATCTATCTATCTATCTATCTCAGTATATATTGGTTTGTTTTGTTTTATGGCATATCGAACTCAATGGGTTATTTAATGCCGACAAAATTTTTATTTCTGGTAATATTTTTTTTATCTATCTATCTATCTATCTATCTATCTATCTATCTATCTATCTATCTATCTATCTCAGTCTATTTATATCTATCTATCTATCTATCTATCTTATTTTGTTCACATATCTCTCCTTCTATCAATCTCTCTTGTCTGTTTTTCTGTATCCATCTATCCATCTATCTATCTATCTATCTATCTATCTATCTATCTATCTATCTATCTTATTTTGTTCACATATCTATCCCTCTATCAATCACTCTGTTTTTCTGTATCTCTATCTATCTATCTATCTATCTATCTATCTATCTATCTATCTATCTATCTAATTCTATTCATTAACTATCTGTTTCTCACTCACTCTATATCTGTCTATCTTATTTTGTTCACATTCTCTCTCTCTCTCTCTCTCTCTCTCTCTCTCTCTCTCTCTCTCTATCTCTCTCTCTCAGTATATATTGTTTTGTTTTACGGCATATCAATCTCAATGGGTTATTTAATGCCGAGAAAATTTTTATTCCTGCTAATATTTTTTCTTCAAAAATGTATAGCTGGTAATATCTTCTTTTTTTTTTTTAAATCTATTGCTGATAATAAATATTTTTACAAAGGTTTCGAAAGGCGTTAGACCACCTCTGCTGGTGTTCCTAGGTTCACACTGACCTGGGGTGGTAGCATCTGTTAGGGTCCCAGCTATGAGCGAATATTTAACCCCAAAACTGACGTGAAAACATTATGAAATTGTAAAAATATGTTTTAACACCAGCAATCGGGTGCAAGAGCTCGGGATCCCCACATAAAACTGATCGTGTGTCACATCCTAGTCAGTGTCTTAAAGATTCTAACTCTATCACAACCACAACGGAAAACATTTTTATCTAAACTCAAGATAAAATTTGTCACAACTACATTTAAAACAATCAAAGTCAGTCAGTCAGTTATGTGCCATGCGTAATACACGCTTACGCGATCATGTAAATTTCGATACATGACTGACGAGGCAGATTTTTTTTCATGCAGTAGGCTGCATTTCCTTCTGCGGTAGACCACTTGCCATCCAAAGCTATAGAACCCAGTCTGTCCTGCTATTAGCTGGAGAGATAGGAAGTGGATTAATACCTTTCCCAAGGGTATTAGCACGTAAATGAATGTAATGGATTCGACTGGAAATATCAGTCAATTATGTGCTATGTGTGATACACGCACAGGCAATCATGTATCTTTCGCTACATGACTGACGAGGCAGATTTTTTCCTGCAGTAGGTTGCCATTTCTTTTTGTGGTAGATTAGTTGCCATCCAAGGCTACAGAACCCGGTCTGTCATGCTATTTACCCATAGATGGGGGGAGAAGAAGAGGATTCATACCTTTCCTAAGGGTATTAACACGTAAATGAATGTAAAGGATTCGACTGGAAATATCAGTCAATTATGTGCTATGCGTAATACATGCTCAGGCAATCATGTATCGAAAGATACATGACTGACGAGGCAGATTTTTTCCTGCAGTAGGTTGCCATTTCTTTCTGTGGTAGATTAGTTGCCATCCAAGGCTACAGAACCCGGTCTGTCATGCTATTTACCCATAGATGGGGGGGGCGAAGAAGAGGATACATAAGGGACTGACGAGGCAGAGTTGCCATTTCTTTTGTGGTAGAAATTTTTTTTCCCAGATGGGGGGAGAAGAAGAGGTAGGTTGTCATTTCTTTCTGTGGTAGATCAGTTGCCATCCAAGGCTACAGAACCCGGTCTGTCATGCTATTTACCCATAGACGGGGGGAGAAGAAGAGGATTCATACCTTTCCTAAGGGTATTAACACATAAATGAATGTAAAGGATTCGACTTGTGCTATGCGTAATACATGCTCAGGCAATCATGTATCGAAAGATACATGACTGACGAGGCAGATTTTTTCCTGCGGTAGTTTGCCAATTCTTTCTGCGGTAGACCAGTTGCCATCTAATGTTATAGAACCCGGTCTGTCATGCTATTTACCCATAGATTGGGGGCGAAGAAGAGGATTCATACCTTTCCTAAGGGTATTAGCACGTAAGTGAATGTAATGGATTCGACTGGAATGTCAGTCAGTCAGTTATGTCCTTCTTGACAAAACAAAAGAATCAAACAAATATATTAGTCTACCCACTAACTCTATCACAATTACAACCGAAATGAATTTATCTAAACTCAGCATAAAATTTGTCACATCTAAAACAATCAAAGATTTAATCAATAAAAAAAAAATAATAAAAACGACCAGCCAAATCTTGAAGTAGGAATTTACTGTATCAAATGTAGGAATTGCCCGAAGGAATACATTGGAGAAACCTCAAGAAATTTAAACAACAGAATATATGAACACAAAAGGAACATTTTAAATAACAACACACAAAACACCATCGTTGTTCACCGTAACAAAACGGACCACAATTTTGACATAGGTCATGCTACTTTGATTAAAAAAGAAAATAATCTACTGAGATGAAAGTGTCTGAAAAGTGCCTTGATCGCTAGTTCAGCCACAATAAATTTGCGTCTAGGCTCTTACAATACATCACATCATCATTCTTAGTAGATTTTATAATCTTACAGTGTAGGATAATCAAGATCAAAGATGGTGGAGAGATAAAGAAAAAGAAAAAGAATGCTGATGATCTCGGTTCGATTGAGAAAAAATACTTTTTCAAAAGATTTGGAATCTACCAGCATCTGTCGTTTCGTGCGCGTGTGTAGACGTGGAAACGTCATCAGAGCTCAATTCAATGAAATCTTAACGGACGAAACGCGTCACCAAAAAAACTGTCCAGTTTTTCATATTTGTCTAAATATTGCTTGTTGATATATAAAATTATACAAAATTATATATCGTTATATCATATATATATATATATATATATATATATATATATTATTATTATTATTATTATTATTAAATAATGCAGCTTAATTAATATTGTAGTCATTAAAAGATTAAATCAATAAAGTCAATGTAAATAAAGGCGAATTCACTTCACTAACAGATTAAATAAGACATAAACTCACTGACCACTCGTTGAATGACACGAATCTTGTTTTTATTAATTTTAAATGGATTAGATGTTCGGTCCATAATACAAGTTCTTTTGGTAAAATATTTAACATCCTTTACAATATATATCCCGTCAAATTCGACGTATGAGGGTCAAGCATATCAATTACTAGGAACCCGACAGCCCGACAACAGCACATGAAATTTGATTATAGTGGTGAAGGTTTCGTGCAGGACCATCCACATTTTTGAATACAGAGACCTGGTGCACTACGTGCCACAAGGTCCCCAAACGACCCTCCGCAGGTTTTTGAATTCAGAGTTTTTCGTAGACCAGTTGCCATCCAAGGCTATAGAACCCAGTCTGTTCTGCTATTTACCCATAGCTGGAGGGAGGAGAAGAGGATTCACGCCTTTCCCAAGGGTATTAGAACGTAAGTGAATGTAATGGATTCGACTGAAATTAAACTCGGCTCTCCGATTCCACAATCGAAGCCGCTATACATTACTCCACCATATATATATATATATATATATATATATATATATATATATATATATATATATATATATATAGAGAGAGAGAGAGAGAGAGAGAGATTGTGTGTATTGTGTGTTTCTTTTCGTCTTTCAATGAAAATATCAGTAAGCTTATAAGACAATTTGAAAGGAACTTAAAATAAGTAGACAAAATTTGTCTATATTATTTAATGAAACATGCATCAATATATATATATATATATATATATATATATATATATATATATTCTTACAATCTAATATATGTTTCGATTTTAAATAATCCGTAAAGTGTTGGTAAGCCGTAAAAAACAAATCAGTTATTATAATCAAAGAACTGATCATACTCGACACTAATGAACTTTCTATCAATTTTATTAAAAGAAATATAATTATTCATTCTTACAATCTATAATATGTTTTGTCTTTAAATAACCAACAAATGATTGATAATCCGTTATTCTAATAATGGTGTTTTGTTTTTGTTTTTTGTTTTTTTTTAAAGACATTTCCTATAAAATATTTAGCTTTTTTTGATTTCTGACTTGGTTAACATTTCAGGACTTCCTCTTTCCAAGTTCCGCGTAACCTAATGTCAAACATATTAAGTGAAACCTAGAAAGCGTAGTTCAGTAATAAGGTAGTTAGGTGGACCCCATGATCTGAGCGGACTCTGTGGGAATCAAGATTATCCACGTAAAATGAGTCTTGTCCCTCCTATAGCTTCGTAGATGTGAAAAGCTATCTATCTATATAATAAATGCAAATGTCGGTGTGTCGCACTTTTTCGACTTAAAGGGACACAACTCTCTAATTTTCAATACCATATTTTAAATGGAATATTTACTGTCCTCAAATTACAGTGTAAATTACATTTTCAACTTTACTCCTAGGGATCGTAACTAAATATATACCATCTTGGAATCAGGCCGATTCCGTGAGGAAATTTAAAACATTCCCGGACCCGCAATCCTGAAATTTTGGATTCTATGTTTTTATTACTGCAATTGTTTTCTGCAGTTTTTTTTTTTTTTTGTGATTTTTGAGACAAATTTTTTAACGGATATCAATATTTATAGCTTCAAAATAAATGTGGGATTACTCGAAAATAATTGATAAAACCATCGAAAATCACCCATGAAATACAAATAATTGTTTGTACGGAAAGTAAGGACCTACGCACATCAAATTGCCTTCAAATTAAATGGCGACAGAAGAATTATCGTTCAACGTTTAAAAGGTAAGCGTAAATGTTAATCCAATACTTAAATGAAGCGATCAATTTTGACTTCTGGAGTTTATTGTTGACTATCGTATCTACTCTTCTCTACTTATTGTGACGAAGGCATCATCAAAAGACATCAGCAGGAGCTAGCTTAAATGCCGTCCGATAATATTTTCTCTTTTTCTTTCTGTCTTTTCCTTATTTTTTTTCATACTTTCTCTATTTTCATTGTCTTTTCCTTTTTTCTTTGATGGTTTATTTGTTTCTTTTCCTTACGTTTTCTTTCTGCCTTTTTTCTTGTCTCTTTCTTTTTTCTTTCTTTCTTAGTGTTATGGTCCAGGTTAGGACCAAGGAAGAACAACACGAACACAAGAGTAGAAATAACGAAGGTATATTACACGAAATAATAATACAAGATGTGGAAGGTGTTAGCATGACTGTCAGTCTGGTTGGGAGTGAACTACTATCGGCTCGACTCGATTCGGTGTCTAGCCACCCAACCCACGAGGGTTGCATGTGGCACAAGGCCGAGTTTAACGTGGGTTTCCCGAGCCTGT